AAGGATAGACAGAGACAATCATAGCAAGATGGGAAATACCCACCATCCTTGCTGGATCTTGGAGACATTGTTATCGCTCCAATGTCTTTTGTTTTTAACCAGCGATTTTGTCTTAGTCATTCAGATTGCTACAACAAAATTACTCTACACTGGTGGCTTAAAAAAAAAACATTTATTTCCTAGAGGAGCAGAGGCTGAGAGGTGTAAGGCCAGCAGATTCAGGGTGTGGTGAGAGCCCTTTTTTCCTGGTGCACAGGTGACCATTTTCTTTCTGTGTCTTCACAGGGCTGGAAGCAAGAAGGAGCTCTCTTGGGTCTCCTTTATAAGGACAATGATCACATTCAGACAGGAGTCACTCTTGAGAGTGATCTCTCACCGGCCCAAGGCACAGCTTTCTGACAGCATCATGCTGCGGGGTTGGGCTTTCTACATAAGAACTTAGGGAGGACACATGCGTTCAGTCTACAGATTACTGCTGTGTGTCACTAACATATGCCTCCTGTTACAGAGCTTAGCCAGCTGAGTAGAAAGCTGGGCATTTTCATGCCTGTTACATGTGGCTTGTCTGAGGAAATATGAGACTGAGATCCTAATTGTGAACCGCTTCAAAACCTTTGTAAAACAAAACAAGAATAAGTCAATGTTTCCATAAAACAGCAAAGTTGATTAAGTGTTTTTAAAAGGAATTCTTTCCCTTAGAAAAATTGACCCAACTTTTCATCTGTTTTCTACATTGTGTTCCCTTCCCTTCCCTTCCCTTCCCTTCCCTTCCCTTCCCTTCCCTTCCCTTCCCTTCCCTTCCCTTCCCTTCCCTCCCCTCCCCTCCCCTCCCCTCCCCTTCCCGTCCCTTCCCTCTTCTTTTTTTCTTTTCTTGTGCTGCTGGGGATTGAATTCAAGGCCTTGTGTGTCCCCACAAACACCCATTTCTGTGCTGACGTGTGACCCATACGTTATCACATCTGAATTCTCACTTCTGATTCTCAGGGGATCAGAGCAGAATCGTATCACCACAGTGTGTTTCGTCCTGATTATGAGTGATGCCTTCAGGATGTGACGCATGAACTCAGGCTGTAACGGCTGCAGTGTGCTGGTCCTTGGCCACACACACATTTTCCAAGCCAGACTCACATTTTCATGGCTTCTTTACTTCAAGTATAAACATACTTCTTATTTCCCCAGTGTGGCAGGAATTTGAATTTATAGCCATCTGTGTTGGCCCTTAAGTAGAATCTTATCCTTCAATGATCTTGAAAAAGAAAAATATGCATTCTTGTACTTTATTTTCTTTATGCCTGCGAGTACATCATATGAAGTTGACTGATTGCTTTCTTCTTACTGTAAGAGTTCCATTAAAATTTTTATCTCGAAAGTTCATGTAATCACATTTTCTGTAATATTTTTTCTATGTTGAAATTTAGTACTTTCCTCTTTCCTATACATATCCTTATTTTGGTATAGCAAAGTAGAATAGATCTATGTACAAAAGTTTTGGAACATCATTGCTGAAATACTAAATATCTAATACCAAAACACAGCTAGGTAGCTTTATAGCAGATAAAAGGCAGCCGCAATACACTTTTACACAACTTCTGCGGTTGTATCTTACCCTCAAATGACGTTTGGCCTTTACAGAGATATGAAATAAGCTCAATTTTGATTTGTGTCTAACAAAATTACAATTGGTGTTTCAAGTGAATTTCAAGGTATCTTGCAGGGTAACGATGTACACAACTTAAAAAAATACCTATTCTACAGGTTGCACTACCTCTCTTTCTAAATTGTGGATATGCATCGTATTATTTGCTATATTCTTCAGATCTTTTCATCATAAATTTTTTATTATATTCTGTAATATAGCATTTATTATAGTATTTATTGTATATTATACTTACTATAGTATTTATTGTATAACATGTTATAGCCTTTCTGACAACTATAGTCCCTCAGAGCATGTGGTTTAAGTATTTTGACTTCAGAACTTGACATTTGGAGTTCAGTTTCTTCTATACTTTAGGGTCTCATCCACCTTTTTAATGATTTGCTGTCTGGGCTGGTTGAGTTCTAGTACTTTCCAAAAGTCATTCGCCTCTCACAAGATGGACACAGCATCTTCCTTGTGTCCTGAGGGTCTCTTATCTCTTACTGTAATCACAATTTTACCTCGCCTTGAACTCATGTCTTAAAGTTCCTAATTGGTTTAGAACTCAGAGGTCAAACTCTATGCTTATTTCATTGCTAAGACTTGAGAATAAGCTTTAAACTAATTCCTCTTATTCTGGCTGGTCCTGAGGATTGTATTAATAATGACAACACAGCATGACTGTGTAGAACAATCAGAAGGTGTAGTTTAAGAGCTCTGATTTCAGAACCAGCCTTCCTTGGGTTCAAATTCTTGCTTCATGATATTGTAGCTGTGTGGTCTTGGGGAAGTCACTGAACATTTCTGTATCTTATATTCCTCATCTTATATTAACACAAGATAACATTTTCATGGTTTGAATTGTGCCCCTGCCCATTTAAATGTTGAAAGACTAATCCCTAGTCCTTTAGAATATGACTTTGCTTAGAAATAGGGTAGTCGTAGATGTAATTTGTTATAATGAGATGGTACAGGAGTATGGTAGGTCTCTAATGCAATAAGTGGGGTTTTGATCTATTATCTGCTGCTCTTACAAAAATCCACAGACTGGGTAAGCAATAGTTTCTGACAGTTTGTAATGCTGAAGACTAGGAAGTCCAAGAGCATGATGCCAGCATCTGAGAGGGTCTTCGTGTTGTATCATAACATGGTAGCAGCTCAGGAGCTGAGGGACAGTAAGTGAGTGTGCTCAAGACAGAGAGAGGAAAACCATAAGGAAGTCATCTATTCTATCATGAAACTACTTCAGAATGACTAACCCACCTACACAATTGTGGTGCTTGTCCATTCAGGGAATTAGAGCCTCAGATCCAATGACCAAGATCATAAATGTCTTATTTCCTGATAGCGTTACAATGGCAATTAAATTTCAACATGAGTTTTGGAGAGGACATTGAAACTATAGCAACTATAGAAACTATAGCAAATGATGTCCTTATAAGAAGGGGAAGTTTGGCTGCAGAGCCTTCAAACATCATGAGGAGAAGAGGAGGTGATTTTCAAGTCAAAGAATGCCACAGATTGGCAGCAAACCCTAAAAATCTAGATGAGGGCCATAAAACAGATTCTCCCTCACAGTACTTGGAGGGAACCCACTCTGCTGACCTCAAGGACTTGGACTTCTAGCCTTCGTAAATGGGAGACAGGAAATGTCTAACAGGTAAGCCACCCAGTCTGTGTTGCTTGATTACAGCACCCTGAGCATGTAATGCAAATAGTAGCTATCAAATCTGAGGACTGACTACATCAATGCTTAACATAATGTGTTGCATAGAACAAGCATTAATGATTCTATGTTTACGGCTAGCTACATGCTTTCCTGCATGCCCAACTTTATATTAGACACATGTATAGGCTATATGAGTTCAGAGCACAGCAGTTCCAATATACAGTGGTTGTAAAATACAAGTTCATTCATTTGTCCTTAAACCCTTGTTCCAAGTTAAAATAATAACAGCACTGATGATATAGTCACAGTGACAACAACTGTTCACTACACATTTCCTACATGACAGACTTTGAGGTAAGTGTTTTCTATACATTCTCATCTCCGTCTTCCCCACTGCCATGTGCATGGCTAACAATTGCAGTCCTGTCCTTTCTTTGATGTTTATTGTCATGGGCTGTGTCTTCACCTCAATATCATCACTACCTTCCTTCCCCCCATCACCTTTTTCTTCTTCTCTGGGATCAGAAACTGCTTTCCCTACGCATGCTGGGGTGCGTATGATCCCATCAGGCTGCATTTAGGCCTTTTTCCTTTGTGCTACTCACGTATTTCTGCCTTAGAAATCATCTCAACATGTAGTAACTCAAAGCACCAATGATGATTTTATTTTCCTGATTTTGGTGAGTTAGAAATTTCAGGAGGGTTTGACTAGGAAGTTCTGTTTCGGATTCTGTCAATGCCATCAGAGGGTGACAGGCATTGGAGCACCTATTGGCTGGCCAGTTGTTTCTGTCTTTTCTTGAAATCTCAATGCCATGTAGCCTCTGTACATGTGTTGGTTTGGGCTTCCTCCCATCATGGCTGCCCTGGGAAAGCTGGACTTCTCTTATGGTGGCCTGGGATGAGACCCTTGAGACATAGGAGGAAGGTAAAAAGGCACTCTCAATGAGCTCCCTAATCTTGCAGTCTAGAATGAAAGAAGAACTGTAACTGCCAGATACAGAGGTGGATTGAACTCTCCTACTTACATCCTGTTGCAAAGTCGGGCTATACCTGTGGAAATTTTGCTGTTAAGATTTTGAAACATGTAATTTTTGCTATATTTGAAAATGACTTTAGAGCTTATTTAAGAAAATAATAAAATGAGTATTATGTGCATCACAACAGTTTTGGATTCTCTAGTGCTGGAATAGCTCTAAAAATTTGGGAGAAGATACAAAGATGTTCCCAGTAAGAAATATCTGAAAATCAATTTTGGAGATTTTTTGTTCCTTTTTATTGCAATGTTGATATTACACTAATGTGAGTGCTTTGACTTCCTCTTCCCTATTAATGCAATGCATCTGAATGTATTGTACCATATTTGTCTTTATTCTGATATTAGTAATTAGCACCCACATATTGAAGGCCTCAAATGTTCAGGCCATTCTTAACTCTGCAACACAAGCTTTCATTTGTTCATTTGATGAAAGAATTTCCAGTCCTGTTTGGAGAGATGTGTGCACGTGTCCTCAGAAGTCAGTAAAAAACATATCAGTGTGTATATCATCAGGGTTACCATTAGACTGAGTGTACAGAAGCTCCACATGTCAAGGGAAACCCCATTTCATTGCAGACAAAACTCCAGTCGGATCAGTAAATTGAACAAGAATGATCAACCTTAAGCACCATGTTCAACTGCCTTGCATGCAGGTCCTTCATTCCTTCACCGATGGCATCTTTGATGAGTGGATGAAAAGATACCAGCCTGCTGTAGATGCCTGGCCCGAGGAGCTGGCGCCCATTGGCCACAATCGGATGTATAATATGGTGCCTTTCTTCCCTCCAGTGACTAACGAGGAACTCTTTCTAACCGCAGACCAACTTGGCTACAGTTACGCTATTGATCTGCCAGGTAACTAACACAGCTTCTTAAGTGGGTGATTCACTTAACTGTTAGAAGCTTACTTTCTTTCTTTTAAATCTAAACCAAGGTCTTTAATTGAAGCATTCAAGTCTAGTTAAGTTCATTGGCTATTTTCTGGCATGTAAGTATTTAACAAGGTGAGCCATTAAACTGCCAATTAAACATCAGAAAGGGACTAGTTTGTAGACTATTGCTTTAGATAACTGAAAGTTATTAAGAGGCTTTTTCCCCACAGAGGAACTATTGATTCCTACACCTGATTTGACAAATATCTGAATTTATCAGGTTAAACAAAAGCTAACATATGATATTTTGAAATATCTAACAATAAAGTAAAAATGAAACAGTTGCATGTGGACAGAGACAGGCAGGACTTAGAGATTATTACCTGAAGGCTAGGGTTATGGTTAGACAAGAATGGAATTTGCCTTGAGCACAAAATTCAATAGGAGGCCAAAAAACAAATGTCATCGGTAATTATGGTAAATATTAATGTGATAGAATATTTTATAAGTCAAAATTAATGTAAAGGATTGTGATGAATACTATACCATAATAATTTCAAGTTCACACAGGCTGTTGTTTGTTTGATTTGCACACTTGAGTTGCTTCCCAGCAGGGTCTCTGGTTTCCAGGAAGCTGGTGTCATGTTGCCCACAGGGATGGGCTTACATGGGCCACAAGCTTTACATTATCCTTTAAAATCATTGTCACTAAGTCATGTTTTAAATTGTAGATCTTTTTTTAATGTCTAACACTTGGTTCAAAATAAAGGAAAGAACCATGAATATATATAAGGGTACATGTTTTTCTTTTTTTGTCCTGGACCCAATATAGCTTTATATGCTATTAACAGGATCTTAGGGCAATTTGTAAAAGGAAACATAAAACAACAAAAAAGCATCTTAACTTGTGAAGAAGTAGAAAAATGAATAGCCAGCATGCTGGTGGCTTTTCTTTTCTTATGTGTTTTATTTAATGTTTCCTAAATCTTAGCCTACAAAATGATCAAAATGATTCCTCCTGCTTCTTCTCCTTCTTCTTCTTCTTCTTCTTCTTCTTCTTCTTCTTCTTCTTCTTCTTCTTCTTCTTCTTCTTCTTCTTTTCTCTCTTTCTCTCTCTCTTCTCAGAATCTTTCAGGGTTTTCTTTCCTTCTAACTCTGCGTGTGTTACATCTTATGCTTCTTACTGATTTGAAATTTCCATTCATTGAAAATCACTGAGGATATCTCATTCAAAGTTCTGTTCTGGGATAAGGAATAATAATAATAATTGAAATATGCAACCTGACTTGCTTCTCTGTCCTCTGGTAGCAATCAGCAATATAAGCTGAGTCCTAAATACAGCTGTAACGCATTAACTCATCAGCAGATAAAAACCCATGTTTAATTTTAATTTTAGTAGTTTGACAATGAAACTTACAATCTTGCCTGCAGAGGTATAAGTATGAATAGTTAGAGTGGAAATTTTTTTTCTCCTACTTTTTAGGTGGTCAGCAAATTAGACTGATGACAGAAAGACTAACAAGTAAAAGACTGACAAATTTAATTTCATGCTTATTATTATTATTCTTGTTGTTATTGTTATATGGGAACCTTTGTAGAAAAGAGGATTCAAAGTTGATAGGCAAGAAGTTGTGGAGTTGAGTCAAGACAAAGAAGCCAGGGTCTGAGCTTTTAAATGACAATGACAAACCACAGAAAATCTTAGAAGATAAGAGCTGTTTTAGTAAAGCTCCTGGCAGTGTTGAGTTAATCTTCTGTGCAGCCGTAACATTTCCACAAGAGAGGAAATGGGTAGTAGCCCTTACTCCCCAGCGTTGCTTCTTTCAGTCAGAAAAAGGGGTTCTGGGATGGCTTCTGGCAAGTTATGTGCAGACCCTCATCGCCCTGCCTTTAGCTGGAAACCTGCTGGGACCAAAGGGGAGGAGCTGGGAGGTGCGTTCTGACCCTCAAGCCTAGGCTGGGAGCAGGTGAGCGGCTTTGGAGATTGGATAGACCTTTGTCTATTGGAGATGGGTCTTGACCTAAACTGGAAGAAATTGGTAGATGTCAGGGTGTTTTAGACTGAAGAAAGGGGAAAGTAGCACAGGGAACAACAAAGGTAGTCTAGGTGAAGGGCTGTGAGAGAAAAGCACGTCGGGGTTCAGAAAAGAATCCCACCAAGCACGAGATGTTGAAATGCTGAATGCCCGGAGCTATAGAGGAGCTAAGTTCTCTCTGCCCTTCCGCTCCCTCTCTGCTATCTCTCATCTCTTTCCCCTGCAAAGGGCAGGAAGGGGCTATCTTTGACATCCTCTGTTGTACCCAAAGGACAGATGCTTCAGAGTCCAGGCAACTTGGTCTCAGATGATCCTGTCCTCTTCTTTCTTTGTTAATCTCCTCTAAAAGTCATTAGCTGTTTCCATAAAATTGTGCACAGTACCAGTCCCTTCATGCCCAGAGAAGGTGTTGAAACTTCAGCCAGATGGTTGTCTTTGAGAGTCATGCTTATGTGGCTCCATTGCATTTTAAGTTAATAAATTTCTGTGTCTTTTCTCTGTTTAACTGATTTATTGTCAGTTTGTTTTATAGGCTGAAATGATCAAATCTTCAGAGTGGAAAGAAAGTTCCTTTCAATTTTATACTTGCTTGTAGAGGAGGGTCTGGGCCAAGGAGTTCTGTGAACTATGTCCTGATCTGTGAGAGGGTCTGATTGCAGAGAGCCCTAAAAGCTAGGCAGATGTCCCAGTAAAAGGCCATGTCACACTCTTCAAGGTAGTGGCTTCAAAAAAACAAGAAGAATAATCAGTGGTGGCAAGTATGTTAAGACACTGGAGCCCCATGTGTTGCTAGAGGGAAGATGAAATGTGGCAGCAACTTTGAAGACACTGGCAGGATTCCTCAGAAAATTAAATATGGATTATCATGTAATGGAGCAGCTGTACTTCTTGATACACACCCAGAATTGAAAACAGGGTCTTGATGAGATATTTTCACACTCATGTTCATGACAACATTATTTACAACAGCTGAATGTAGACGCCACCCAAGTGTCCATCAATACTTAGGTGAATAAACAAAAGTTGGTGTGTATATATATGGGCTGAGGGCAAATGTGTACATATATGTATGATATATATGTGATAATATTCAGTCTCACAAAGGACAAAAATTCAGGTACATGCTACAAAAGAGCTAAGCCCCAAAGGCATCAAGCCAAGTGAAATGAACTAGACGCACAGGTATAGTGGGGCACACCTGTAATTCCAGCAGTTGGGAGGCTGAGGCAGAAGGGTCATTGTGGATTCAAGGCCAGCCTGGGCTGCATACTGAAACCCTGTTTCAAAAACCAAACCAAACAAACAAAAAACCAAAATGAGACATAATAGAACAAATACTGCATGATTCTAGTTATATGAGAATATAAAGTTGTGAAACAGAAGGCTGTTCCCAGAGGCTGGGCAGGGAGACTGAGAATGAGGACTTATCAGTTAGTGGGTAAAATATTTCACTTTTTCAAGATGACAAACATTGTGTGGATGGATTGAAGTGGTGGTCACACAATAATGGAAATGGTACTGAACTGTATTAAAAGTGGTTAAGATGGTAAAATTTATGTTATGTATGTGTTACCACAATTAAAAAACATTAAAAATAGGCAGAGAATTTGGACAATAATAAAAAACAATTATTTTTGGTGATTTCACCAAAAAATGATAGAATAAATTTATAAGAAGATGAAGCTAGCAACAGGGGCAGCTGTATCATAGCAGAAGGAGATGCATTGAAATCTTCCTGGAGGAACCTGGCTGGGATGGACCACAGCCCCCGGTGGGATTGAAGGAAGAACAGGGTTAGAAAGACAGCCTCATACTTTCATGCATGTAGGCTGTAAATCCAGAAGCCAATTCCAGAGGTCCAAATTTTAAACTTATCTTGCCAAAAAAAAGATATTTTTAAAGGAAATTACAAGGGGACATAAGTATATTTAAAATACAATGCATTAATTTGGGAGAAGAGAGTTTATAAAGTATATATGAGCTGAAAATTGGATCACATGGACAATTCAGATTTCATCAGAACTATTCAAACAAGCACAGACAGACCCGCTTCTGCCATGGAACATCTCCTGCTACAAGGGCCAATCTTATTTTTCTCATCCTATAAAAAAGAGAGAAGAGCAGCGCTTCCCACCTGAGGGTTGTGAATTTAGTAATTCCCCAGATACCATTTTAGCATGAACTTTTACAAATGAGTTTCCGACTTTAAAAGTAGCTGTGTACCTCCTTGGAGGGTTTATTCTGCATATAAGCACTTATTATAACAAATGTTTAACATACAGTAAGTCGTATTTAAATAATGAGATGCCATTTCCAACTTCCTGGCCCTAACGATTGTGGATGTGATAAGTACTTGGTGAGAAACGAGAATATAAATTGTATTCCAGCAAGGCAGTTTTGCTTTATCAACAAAAGTGGATGTGAAAAGCAAGTAAGTTTATTCTTTCCTTCCATAAACATATTCAGCAGTTATGAACCCTTCTCTTCTGCTTCAGTTTCAGCTGAAGAAGCCCCACGTTGGACCACAACACTCTCGGCGGTGATGGGAACACTTGTGGGTTTGGTTGCTCTGTTTGCACTGCTGGTTTTCCTTCAGTACAGAAGACTCCGCAAAGGATACTCACCCCTGATGGAGACTCATCTAAGCAGCAAGAGATACACAGAAGAAGCCGTACCTTAGACAGGAGGCCGGCCAAACTACAGCACTGACCTTGAGAATAATCAGACTATCCTAGAGCTCTTCCTTTACAAGATCTTTGCTGCAGGTTCTTTTAAAGACATAACAATCCTGAAGGTGCTTCACTGTGTTTCTGGTTGGCTAGCATAACAAATTCTAGCTGAAGGTGTTTGTCAGGGCGAGGGATGCAGCACAGTGCCTGCCTGGCAAGTGCGAGGTCCTGAGTTCGATTCCCAGTACCCCAACAGAAAATAGTTTATAAAATAGACCAAAAATATAAGACCCTACAAGTGTTTGGGGCTACCAAACTAGTGGGAAATTTGCAGATCAATGCAGTTGGAGACCTGGAAGGCTCTGGTTCAGTATTTCTTAGCCCAAACATCTTTGCTTTTGATGGTGTGGAGATGGGATGCTGGGATGAGTCAGCTTTTCATTACTATACTGAAATGCTTTAGTGGGGGTTAGTTTTATAAATGAAAGAGGTTGTTGTCATTCACAATTCTGTTGGAGTAAAATCTAAGATTGCAGGTGGTGATGGCCTTGCTGAGGTGCTAAGTCCTGAGGTGCTCAGAACATTGCGTGGGAAGAGACGGGGAATACATGTGTGTCTGTGCCTGCCTGGCCTCTCTCTTCTCCTTAAAGATGCACCAAGACTCGGGTTCGATCATGGGGACTCTGCCCTGATGACCTTACCTAATTCCAGTCGCTCTCTGAGAGCCCTGCTTCTAAACACCATAGTCAGTCCACCCTCTGCATTCCTTACAGCAGGGACTAAACTTTAACACGTTAAACTTTGGGGGAACAAATTATATGCAAACCACAGCAGGGGTCAGGCACTGGATGAATCTCCAAAACCCTTTAAACAACTACATACAGTGCTTTTTCTGCCCTCATCATCTTCCTGGGCTTCTTTTTCTTCCTTTGTCTGTCTTTTCCTTTCCAGCCTTAAAAATTAAAACAGGTCTTATTTTCTATATAAGATAAACAACAAATAAATGAAAGATCAAGTCAGTTGTCTTTGTAAATAGAATTTACAGAATTTTCAGGGATTTCTCTTCTTTTCTTATCAGGGTCTCCCTAGGTAGTTCAGGTTGGTCTTGAACTTACTAGGTAGCTCAGGCTGTCCTTGAACTCATGATCCTCCTGCCTCAACACCTTCTCCCTCAGCAGTAGGACTGCAGGTGTGCACCACTGCACCTGGTTAAAATTTTTAGCTTTACAGAGTGGAACTAGTAGAAGATCCAGTTGCTGGGTGAACATTGATCTGATAGGGATAAATAAGTGAAGAAGTACAATTACGAAGTTTTCTAGTTAAATCCTAGTTAACTAATCTACTGTTCCAAACCTATTAAGTGAATCAGTCCTTCTAGGAAAAGCTGACCAGAGAAGACTACTGACATGATAATTCTGAACATGGGACAATTTGATTAGAGTCTCATTATTCCGGGGTCCTGGCAGTTCCTTTGCTATGTAGCTTCAGATGAGAAATTATTCACATGTAATGCATTTTACTTTTTTGAAAGCACTAACTGTAGATTCATTAATGCTGCTTCATACCAATTTTTACTTATCGATGAGAATCAGTGACATCTTATTCAACAGCAAACCATCTGTTGAAAATACAATAATTTGGAATTACATTGTTCTGTGATCTTAAGTTATTGAGATATCAAGGGAAATTTTTTCTGCTCATCTTTGATGCCTATGTGTCAGGAGTGAGCCTAATTTTAAGAAGGGGCTCTTGGTTCACTTGTTTGGCCTCGCCCTGATGGAATGGATGTGTGTCCAGGATAGGGTACAAAGGGGACTTTAGAGATGCCTTCTCTGTTTGAGGGCATGGAAGGAATGCAAGGCTCACCAGGAGTGACATTATCCTTTGCAGTGGACTGTTCAAGCCAGAGCAATGGACAGTGCTCCACTGGAGCTGAATCTGAGTCCAATTCTCATAAAGTCACAGGTGTATCTGAGAGGAGGCTCAGCAATATCAGCCAGTGTCCTTCATGGGGTGAAGTCACTATCCTCATTCTCAATTCCTGCTATTTGGAGTACGTGTGGACAGGGCAGCAGTGGTCATTCACATGGCCCTGTCTGCAAGGGTTATGCTCTGAGCTTAGGGTTGTTGGGGAATGTACTTTGACATTTTTTTTTTAAAACGAGGTAAACATGCAAAAGTAAAGATGTAATGCTTCTTGGTAAGCATGTTCCTGAGAAGTTATACATAAATCAAGTGTATGTTAAAAGCACCAGGGGAAATCACTTTTATAATAGACGAGCTATTATGAATAATTCTATAAAGCAAATAATCACAGCTAGCTTATCTTTCCAGTAGTGCATGTTAGAATTTTCATACATCCTATCCTCATAAGATTTGGCTAAAGCAAGATCTATTTGGAATAGAGCTAAGTAGTCATCATTTATACTTAGTTGCTTTTATCTATAGTGTGTGGAAATTCTTGCAAATATTATGTTTTATAATGCCTTTCTAAAAGAAACAATTTCCTAATATCACAGTTCATTTAAGAGGAATAAAAATTTCCAGCATTTTCTCACCTTATAATAAATCAACAAAAAATGCCTTCTAACTACTCTAGAGGTAGGATAAGCCTGCAGACTGGAAAGCTGGTATTTACTTACATTGAGTATTACGCAAATAAACTCAGCAAATGTCACTGAACAATGCAGGGCTATGCTTTCTCAAGAATGTGGGGGGGATTCAACCTTGAGGAAAATCAACAGATTACTTTCATGCTTTTATGTTCCTTGTTAGAAACACTGTACGTATATGAATTATAATTTCAATAGAAATCCCTCTGTGAAGCTGACATTCAGAAGTGAATGTCAGGTGTTAAATAACACCTCTCCTTTTCTTGAATTATGGTATTGACTGTCTTCTACAATTGTTTAACATTAATTTACAACTTGCTTAGGATTTAACATTGCTAATCATAATACTAATGAACAATTATAACTTCATATTAACAAGGAGTAGGGAATTTATTAAAGAAGAAATAAAAATAAATATCTTGCAGATTATTGTTCGTCTTTGGAGGTACTTTTTTAACTTGCATGTCAATCCCACTCTTTCAGGCATGCAACATATTTGTAATGGAACATACAGTACATACATGTAAATATGTAACCACTTCAGAAAATCAGTTCTTAAATGGATGCTCTACTTCTCAGGTTAGTGTCTGAGCAATTGCTAATTCCTGGATCTCTGTTGCACAGGAATAAAAGGAGATGGAGATATCAGTCTTCCCCTGGATGAAAGTTGCTTTCCCACACCCCATAGGGTTGGGGACCCCGGGTTGTGGTGACTGCTTCAAGGCACCGTAGCAGTGGCCTGCGGGTCCTTCAGGTGAACCTTTGAGAAGGCAGCTGGAGCTAGTGGGGAGGTGAGGTGAGGTGGCTCCCCCGCTGTCTTTACATCAGATCTCCTTGCCTTACATGCTCAGAAATGGGGTGATTAATCGAGACAGGGGCACAAAAGAGACAGTTGCCCCTCCCCAGTTGGTAGGAAAGCATAACTTTCTCTAACGCAATGACAAAGCCCAAGGTTGAAGTCATTTCCAATCTCTTGCTCAATCTGAGTTCCCTATAAGTATTTTTTGAATGAGTGAATTAAAAGTAGTCTCAGGTACAGCTTTTCAGAGGGCCTCTGGCATATGTTCTAACACTGGCTGGGTGACACACAGAAGAGTGGGGTCTTTTATCCCTGCCATGGTATTTCCAGCCTCTTGTCCTTCAGAGGTTGCTAGGTGGAATTTTACTCAGGAAATCTAGACAAAAGGACGCTTCAGCTGTATTTTCTTTCTAGATGCATCTTCTTCCCACCATTTGCAGACCTTAGTGATAGGGACCAGGATAGAAAATTAAGACTTCCACTAACTCTCTCTTAAGTCCTCACCTGTTATTTAGGGTGCCTTGTTGCCTGGTATCCTAACATCCTTGTTTTTGTGAAAAAATTAGTGGGAAAATTCTTTAATCGCAAGCAGTGCCTCTCTTGCTGATGGGTCTAAGCAGCTCACTTTAGGAAACTCTTCCAGGGCGATTGAGGGCAATTGTCCCAGGGACCCATCAGGGACTAGCTCAGGACCCCTCATCCCAGGACAGCCAAATCCATGGATATTTATATAAATGACATAACTTTTGCAGATAATCTAAATCATCTCTCGGTTACCTGTAAAGCCTAAACCAAGGTAAGTGCTATGCAACTAGTTCTCAGTACTGTACTGTTTAGGAATAATGACAACAGGAAAAAAAAAAAAACTCTATGCATCTTCTGTACAGATTAAATTCTTCCTCCAAATATTTTCATTCTTGCTTAGTTGAAACCGCTGAAAAGTAACATGCCCCAGACAGGGCTGACTATACCTTGATGCTAGCCGTAACTGTAGTTCAAGCTGATATTTTAATTATGCTTTGGCAGGTAGTTCTGTGCAGTCTTGAACATAACACACAAGAAAATTGTGGGCTATAGAATGTGTTGAAGTTTTCTAAATCAAAGCAAAGCAAATAAAAAGACAAAAGTTCCTACTCAAGGCCTGCATGTGCTGTATATTTTTATCAAGACTACATCTACTTGGTAGAAACCATTAACCCAACTTATGTTATTTATCCCACCAATTCAAGTCAGATTTCATGAACATACGATGTCTGAATCCCGTCCTTCTTTCTCTGCTCCCGTGTCAGTTTACAGACACACGCTAAAACCACCACGGTGCTTCCCAAGTGTAATTGTTCTTTGTGTTGTAAATACTGCTAAGTAGAAAAGCCTGAGCTTGGCTTGCTTTATTAAAATAATAGAGATTTCACTGCCAAGGTTACATGCCCTGATTACTCATTCACTCCGTATGTTATGGAGTGCTTCTGAATTTGCAATTAGCACAATGACTATCTTAATTACTAGCAGATGGAATCAGTCTTACAATAAAGGAAAACCTGCCCTCTTGTGGTAGATTAGAAAAATTGCACAATGTGGTAATGTTAACTGATCTTCGTTTAGGGTTACCTGACTGGTCAAGAAGAGGGAAAATTATCCGAAGATGGGACAAGAATTCAGAAATCAGAAAGGATAAAGCATAGTATTTAGAAGAAAAAAGTTTCTTATGCAGGCTCTCAGAATTTCAATTTTCATCAATTTTGAAATGTTAAATATTTGCCAGCAAGCCATAAAAGTTTGGGGGAACATTTCAGATTACTGGGCAAAACTCTATTCTGGGCAAATACAGACAGGATACAGTTAGTTAGCTATTATGTATGTGGTTGTACTGGAGACTGGGGGAAAATCCTATCCAAAGCTGTTGTTAAAAAGGAACATTTGGCCAGGCGTGGTGGCACTTGCCTTTACCCTCAGTATGTCAGAGATGAGCAGGAGAATCACCTTAATTCACGGTCAGTCTAACTACTAGCAAGACCCTGTCTCACAAAACCAAAAGAAGAACCAGGAGGAAAAAGAGGAGAAGAAAGATTTTTGGAAAAAGTTTTAGAACAAATCATGGATCAGTGAATTGAAACTAGAGGCAGCTATTTGAACTTAGGTGTGCACTGCTGTATCAGAAAACGTTTTTCACTATAGAAAATTCACTTTCTAAATCTAGATTAATGGCGTCAGGTGACAAGAGCAAAAATGTATCAAGTCCTCATAGCGACTTTGGGTTAGGTGATGAAAGGGGGACTCAAAAGATAAATAAAACATGGTCTCTAACTTTTGCAAGGCTGCCCTTTAGACATATATCTGGGTAAAGTTTAAAAGGGAAACCTAAGGACAGATTGTTTTTTGGTTTGGTTCCCCCCTCCATTCCAAGAAATTTTGCTCACTAATGAAATGGAGGAATTAAATTCGAAGCTTTGCTACCCAGAAGGTGTCCCACAGTTCCCCACTGACACACACAGAATTAGGTGGCACATTATGCTGGAGACTTAATGTCTAAAGCACCAAATTTGCTATGACATTTCTGCCTGACACTGTAACTCCTACTTTTGTTTGCTTCTTTCAAATAGTAGTAGTAAACATTGTTTCAATTTATTGCTAGTTGGCCCGTTTTCCTTCTTAAAAGTATCTGTGTTTCGGAAGTCTTGCCTTTAGCAGCAGGGAGACAGGCTGACCTCAAACCTCCACGTTTCATGTTAGAACCACTTGTACAAGCCAGCCCCCGGTCCTGAAATCAGAAAGATAAGCTGCACCCTAACAAGCACACCCAGTGACCCGCGCAGCTGTTCTCTCTTCTTCAGCGCGGCGAGCACGCACCTCCAGCCTGTGCTAGGTCAGAACCTGCATGTGAGCCGCACATTTTCTTTCTCTGCCAGGCATTTTACGATTCAGAGATGTGCAACATGTTCTGGCCTCCAGGCCATTGTTTTTGCTTCTGTGAGCTGCTCGGCGACGCCCTTACCGCGACGCGGGCCTCCGTGTTTGTAGCACTTTTGCTTGAGCTAGTTCCAACTCTGATCCCACGCTGGCTGCTTCCCTCCCTCCCTCCTTCCTTCCTTCGCTGCAGCCACACCTGGGACAGATCCCGTGCGTTTTCGGGGCGCTGCTAGGTTTGCGGGGAACTTGACAGCCTCTCCAATTTCGGGGCCTCTCCAACAGTCAAAGGGCTCTTGCAACCCAGTCACATGCAAATTGGGTCCTTTTCCACTTGGCTATCACAGCCCGCAGTTTGCAGCTTAGCTGCTCAAAAGCAGGCGTGATATAAGTCGTTCTGAAGTTGAGGCTGGATGCTGGATGTGAATTCGCTGCTTTTAGACGAGGGCTTCTCAGAACATCCAGCTACTGTGAGCTCGCCTCGCAGCTAGACGGCTGCATCGGACTTGATTTTCCCCTTGCTGCAGAGAGAATGCACCTGCAAGCTAGGCGATCTATCTCCTCACCTTCCTGGCGGCTCTCAGGGAACTCAGTGCTCCCTGACCCCAGTTTGCTGAGGCTCCCGGTTGTGTACTGAACCGAGCCAGGCCAAGAGAAGACACAGGGGTGGTCTGGGTGCAGCCTCCGCCTCCTGATTGTCTCTGTCAGCCTGTGCTCGTGCCCCGAAGGATTCCCTTCCTCTGATCATTGGCGGTGTGACCAGAACACATCGGGTAAGGAGCCCACAGCACAAAATCGCTGCAGGTCTAAGATAAGGGCTCTGCACTGCCGGAAGTCACATCCTGTTTCCCCAGCCCGGTCCTCAGGAAGCAGGCGGCACAAGGTGGACAGGATTCTTGGCAGGGTCAGTGGGCAGGTTCCTGCTTCTGGGCGTTCGGTGGGCTGCCCGGATTGCCTTCCACAGCTAAGAGCTGGCAGGGGTGAGATGCTCAGCACCATGTGCTGGGTGTGCTTGGAGAGGTTTTTTTTTTTTTTTTTTTTTTTTTTCGTAATTACACTTTGTGGTGAAATAGTGGTAACATCAAATGTGACACCTGAGCCATTTCAGAATGTACGGATTAGTGGTGTTACCTTTGCAGCAGCGTAGGACTGTCACCACCAGCTATTTCTGGAGCTTATATTTACCATCCCAACTAGACATTCTGTATCTGTTATACCCTAACTCCCCTCTTTTCTCCCTCAGCTACATGCGACTTCTAACAGGGCTTTGGCGAGTTCCTCTCCTCCGAAGCCTGAGACCCTGAACTCTGAGATGGACTGTTTCAAGCCCATTACCTCATGTCCTTGGGATCATCATGAATGTGACGCAGAAGCTAAGTAGGGGGTAGGGATCTTTGCTGAGGATTGCTGAGGGAAATAAAGCTAAAAGACATGTTCTCACCTCTGAGTCATATGATGTGAAGATGTGAGGTCTGGAATCATAGCAGCCATTTTGCCTGTTTGAGGAGGTCTTTGAGGAAGAGATAGAGGGCAGTGGTTACATTCCAGCCCACTCACTAATTTAGCACCTCATCTTTCTTAAACTTTTATTTTTGATTGCTGTGGACTTTAATTTTCTTGCTTTCGACAGATCCATAATGTTCCTCTTGTTATACACACTAGAATAAATTGAGTTCATACATGCAACTTCTTCCAAACAGTCCCTGTGCTTTAAACTAGGTAATGT